AATTAAGAGTACTAGTATGGGGCAGTTCTACACAGGTGTGGCTCAGGCCCAGGTCTTCAATGATACTTACACACCGAACTCCCATTGATTTCAAGTATTTAGGTACCTAATTCCCATTGAAACTCCCATTGCAATCAATGGGAGTTAGGTGCCTAAATATATTTGAAGGTCTGGGGCTCAGTGACTTCAGTGGGGATATTCAGGCCCTAGCAATACAAGTTTAGAAATAGTTAAATCTGGAAGATTATTTGCAATATGTATGACTAAAATCAAATTTAAATAGGTTTACTTAGGTCAAAAGAAAAGTTTGTGTATTTCAGCACTTCAATTAAAAATCCTGGTTCAATAAAATGATAGTTCCCGACTTGGCTTTAAAACTGAATATCCCACATTTTAGTGAGTTTTATGACAGGTCATCTGACCTGATGGTAAAGTAGCTTGTGATGAAAATTCTATTATGAATGATTAAACTCGTCACAATTTATTGTCAGCATAAGGAAACAGAATAGATGTTTAACTGCAGAGATGTTGTATAAAATGTAAATTTTAGAAAAATTCTGTACAAAACTCTTGGACCTATTTTCTAAAAAACAAAACAAAAAATCCCCCTATCATCCCATATGCTTTCAATAGTCAAAGCGGCTCTGTAATAAATCACGCAGTCTGATTGACTAAGACCACAGTGGCTGATAAAACAGTTTAGGCCTATAACTTTTGATATATCTAATACTTTATGAGCAAGCTGTGATAAATTTACACTAGGTTTTAATGTCTATTTTCTATCTAGGAAAATCCATTCTGATAATGATCCTTCTGGTTTTTCATGCCTGTTCTTGGAATGGGAAAGAGAACAACTGAGTGAAAGAGAGAGCGATAGAAGGATAGAATAAAGAAGTGAAGTGCTAAACAATTAACTCAATCTTAGACTATGGGAGAGAAAAGACAATTCAGGTCTTTCTTCAGAACAATAATATGGACTTAAATTTGTAAAGCGTTCAGATACCACTGTGATGGGCACAAAAATAAATGGTCAGATATCATGGTGATGGGTTTGAATAGGACAGAACTGAAAACGTACACTTAGAGAGGTAGGTAGATAAAACTTTAAAGTCATTTTGTTCAGCCCATTAGGAAGGATGCTGGATTCCTGCTTAAAAACAAATTATAATTGGGAAGATGGTAATCAGTTAAACCAAAATGGGAGTAATATGAAATTTAGAGGGAGGTCTCAAAAGAATGGAGGGTTTGGTGGTGTCAGGAAGCCCTTGGGTTACAAAGATGGAAACAAATTTCAAATCCTTCAAAAGAGATTAAAAAAAAAAAAAGGAGTTAGGTTAAACTTATGATTTGTTAAAGGCCTTTGGGTAAATGTTCAAAAGCACCTAAGTCCCACTTTAAAAAGTGACTTATGTCCATCTTCTCCATGGTATTAGATGCCTAACTCCCATTGAAATCAATAGGAGTTAGATTCCTAAATACCGTTGAGGATCTGGGCCCTAGTCAAATAGGTGCTTTTGAAAATTTTACTTATTTCCCTGTTTACAACTTCCTTTCCCTTGTTACAAAGCTATATGACAATATATTCGTTCTTCATCTGGGATGAATAAAAAAAACTCCTGGGTTTATACTCTTGCCAGCCAGTGTTGGTGTTGAGGACCAGCCCTTCTGCTGGGCAGATAGTTCTTCAAGCACACACTAGCTTGTATAGTGAGGTGCCAAATCCAATGTTAGATAAAGGGGCCAAGAAAGAAGGAATGGACAAGAAAAGCCCCTACTCTCATGTGGAATGAGCCAGAATCCCTTGGTCACGGTGCTCAGGTACACAAGCCTCTTTGGCATATGTTTGGTCAAAGCTGGGTGCCAGCACACAAATATGTGTGGCTAGGCTCCATGTACAGCTAAATGGCTAAAGTCTTCTTAGGTTGAGTAAGTCTTAGCCTGTTTTTTCATACAATACTAATCTTCCTGTTGCCTTATCTCATCCAAAGATTAGCCTTCATTTGTTTTGCTTGGACCGAGCAAGTAGTTCAGCCTTTCACTCTTGCTGCTTTGGTGTCATCCACACAAAGGTTATTTATTAATGGCTACAATGCTTGTTTCTAAACTCTCATTGTCCTCCAGACAAATCCACCCATAACTGTCAACCGTCTGCCACAAACCCAAACAGCTACACTGCATGGTCTCATGAGATGCCCTAAGAATTCATTCTGTTCATTTGCCAAGTGTTATGTCTTCTGTGGTTGTTCCACTGTAGGCCTCAAAGGGGTAAAAAAAATCACTCTAAAACATATTCTTCTAGTGTTTCCCTTCACTATGAATATGAGAGCCCCTTAAATAAAAAAATATATAAAACTATTTATACCTTTAAGAACTTTATACCCTCAGATGAGTATTGTTTTTTAAATAACATCAAGAATAGGTTCCTTGAGCTACTGTATGACCCTTTAAGAATACAGCATTTCCTCACAACAGTTTGAATGTAGACAATCTGGCTATATTTCTATTTAAAGGATGACTTTTTCCTAGAAAAATTAATCTGATTCTTAACATAAAACAAATTCCTGGTGAACCTAAAGTTTTTAGGAAACTTTCATACTGCTTAGTAGAAAACAGTGAGATCATTTGTCTATTGATACTAAAACATGATAGGCTCTTAGGAGTCAGATCCTATAAACCATGTATTTGTGGAACATTAATTGACTTCAGTGAAAATTCTGCACATGAAGAGCTTCTAGAATGGGACCTCTAAAAATACATCCACAATGCATTTCAAAATCCACAGCAGCCAGACTCAGAGCCCAGGTCTACAGACTTGGGCTTATGGGACTTGTGCTACGGTGCTAAAAACAGCCGTGTAGATGCTGCCACTTGGGCTGGAGCTCAGGTTCTGAAACCCACCCCTCTCTCTAGGTTTCAGAGCCTAAACTCAAGCCTGAGCCTAAACTCAAGCCTGTCTACACAGCTGTTTTTAGTGCCGTAGTGGGAGCCCTAGTCTGTAGACCCGAGCTCTGAGACTCGTGGGTTTTTAAATGAGGTGTAGATGTATCCAAAACTGCTTTTTCCAAGATCCAGGCATGAAGTGCAAGTACCTTATGCCCAGGCATGAAGTGCTCAATCAGGACACAATCTGACTCCCATTTCAGACAATAATAAAACTCACATTGACCTTGCAGTTAGAGCAGAATCAAATCTAATTTATTTTCTCAGTTTTGCCTGAGTAAAGTCTGAGAACTGCAGGACCGTACTGCTAAGCTCCAGTCCTACAGTTAAGCTCTGTGCAGGTGGACCCCTGTACCTATGCAGAGCTCACTGTGTGATCACGGTCTTGGTTATTAAATGGTTGAAACACAGACAGATGAAGAGTGTGTGAAAGACCCATAATCAACTGTACTTCAGGGGCATGTGTAACACAGTGTAAGTCAGTCAAAATATTTTTTCTGGATCTTCCATGTCTATATAGCCACTAAATATGAAATTATTTGAGCTGTGATGAATGATACTGGGAAGGCACTACAATATGTTAGATTTTGCTGAACAAAAGTAACTTCAAGGATTTTACATGAATTGGAGCGAAATCTCACCAAAATAATGTGTTGAAGTGAAAGGATACGTGAACATAGTATCTGAATATAATCCACTCATGGTACGTACCTTTGAAATACTAGGGATAGGCTTTCTGATTTTAGTTCAAGATGATACAGTCTATTAACACCCCTCCTGCTCTGGACAAATTGAGATTTGGTGTTTGAGATAAACAACAAAAAAGCATTAAAATCCACAAATGTTGTGCCACTGCAATGTAAACTGCAAACGTCAAGAAAAACAGGACAACACAAAACTATCTCCAGAATGTTTCTTTCTGGAAAGATATCAAACCAAATCACTTTCCTCATCTTCACGTCTCTTCATAATGACCCCCTGACACATATCTCCTCACCCTTTCTCTAGATTCAGATGTTCCCTCTACTCTCTCTATTCAAGCCTATTCTTACTCATAATATCAGCCCTTCTCCTCTACTGATAGTTGGTTCTTTCTTTGTGGTCCTTGTTAGCTTTGTGAATCAGCCAGCCCACGTCTCTATCTCACTGACTATCTCTTTCAAGAAAAGCTCAAAAATCATCTAATTTACCCTTCCCACAAACACTAGTTGTTAGCCTGTTTCTTGTACCTGTAATTCTTATCAACACCTCTCCTTATCTACTGTCCCCATCTAGTCTAACATCTTTGTACTGTAAGACTGGCAAGCTATGATATCCTACGCTATGCCCAAGAACACCACGTTATAAAATAAATACATGCTGGATTGCATTGTATTTTAGTTTCAAAGGTTTCGATCCTGCAACAAGAGCCTCATGGGCAGCAGTCAATGTTGTTCTGTGGTGGCCTGGTAATGTGCCCACATTAATTGTTTTGTAGGATTGGGGCCAAGTTCTGTTGCTGCAATGTTCAGTATAAAACATGCTTTTCTACTCATAAGCACCTTGTTTGTTTGGTTTACAAGACGAGACAATTACAAACCCCCTACATTTGACATCTTAAGAAAACTTATAGGTTGCATACACAACAAAAGCCCTCAGTTATAAAACCATTCGGCCTAATAGCATTTCTCTAAGATTCCTGTTGTCAAAATTAAGTCTTTGAAGCTCGCAGTGAAAACTGTCATTTTGGGATACACGGTTCATTTGTGTAAATATTTTGAGCTGAATACATAATTTTGCTTTGAAAGAAAAGAAAACGGACGTTACCATTAATATTAAGTGACAATCAATTATCTTTGTAGAACAGTGCATGTAATATAACATTTGCTCGCTTGTCTGAGATACACTTGCTCAAATTAACACTGTCTGGATGTAATATTAATGTGGGCACCACTGATAGAAGTAAGTCTGACATGCCAAAGGCTGTAAAGAAATACTGACAACACCTAGGAGAGCTGACGAAAGAGACTCAGAAAGATAGTTTGACAGCACCTTGAAGATTGAGACATAAAGTTCATTACCAATTAAAGTTGAGATGAAGGAGGAGCTGGGATCAAAAGGGCATCTGCCTCGTCCTCTCTCAAATTTGTGCCACTCCAGTTGAAATAGATAATCCTTTAAAGAAAGTCACAGAAAACAGCATAAATACTACATTAAAATAAAATAATAAAAGATTAGCTTTAATGTATTTGATATCTCTGAACCGAATTGACTTTTTCTGAGTGGAGAAAATAAGGTTACCATTGTTCATTAATAAATTTGTTATAAAGAGTCTTTGATTTCCACAAAACACCTTTGCATGCAGACTACACTGCAACATTTATTGAATCAGTGATTCATTTGTATGGGCATAGGAGGGAAAATGTCCCTACCTCTTCTAAAATTATCTAAATATTCTAACTATTTAGCAAAGAAATGTATTCATCCTCTCTAGATAGGATGGCATAATACATGTAGCATAGATTTGGGACTTCTGTGTGTCTTCTTTGTACTAGAAAGTTTTAGGAACGAATCTTTGATTAAAACGTTCAGAGCATGTGATGTGATTTATGTTGTAGATGTACTCCAAAATTAGCCTTGGAAGAAGATGGGCAATCTAATTTAACTTTCTCGGTTTAAGACTTAACCTGAACTCTTGCTCCTGCAATGTTGCCTCTTTTATCACCTGCATTTTTCTGGGTTCCCAAAAGAGCTTCAGAGAAATGCGATTATTTAACTAAAATGTCAGGTGAGAGCACAGAAGAAAATATTTTTAAAACTATTTATTTATGAAGTTTTAACAAATCTTTGCCATGTAAATATCAGAGCCAAAACAATGTTCATTACAACACTGAGCTTTTGCTTAGAGAAACATTAAACAGTAATGTAATCCCCAGCTCATTTAACAGGGTGTTACCTTTATTACAAAGTGAGCACCTTTACATTACCCAAGACATGCTGTTTCTGGTGATTTTATAAATTGAGTGAAATCTCTGATTACACATATTTAACAAACTAGGCATGTCTATCAAATGTTAATATTCAAAATTATTGGACAGGTGTGCTGGTTTTTGGTGGGTGAGTGTATTTTGTCTGAGTGTTGAATAAATGGTAGATAAATATCTAAGTATGTGATTAGTGTGTTAATTGGAAATCTTTTTTTTTAAATGTATATATTAAACTTTTCCCCTTCAAAAATAAGGAGGAAGAGGAGGAGAAAGTACAGTTATGACAATTAGATTGCCAAAATATACATAGTACAATAATCAAGAATTTGCATTATAAATATATATGATACCATGTATTTCAGCAATGCCAGTTCTGTGTCACAGATTCACTCATCAAACAAGTATATGAAACCATATTATTTCTTTCAGCATACTGTATAAATTCAATCCTTCTGCTTGGTGAACTGATCTCAGTTTTAGGTTGGCGGTACACATGTATGTCAAATGTTTGGGTAGATGTAAAACCACACAAAAAAGGAAGCTAAAAAAGTAAAGGTTTTTAAAAGGGACCGCAAGATAAAAGAACAGGAGGGCAGAAAACAGAGCGGTGGGGCGGGGGGAGAGGGAAGAGAGGGTAATGAGAGTGACATTTCGGTTCTCATCCTCTAGAGATCAATCAAGGCCTGTACAAAGTTAGACTAAATCTTTTCAAATTTGTCTAAGGCCCATCTTCTCTGAAATGTTACTCACTCTGTAGTTGCCAGCCAGTCAGGTCTCTCTGCCAAGCTTCTAACCCTGGAAGCAATCTGCTCTTCCATCAAAGCAATATAAGCCATTTGGCTACAAGCACTGCACTATAGAAACAAGCTTTCCATGAGCTGAGAGTTTCCAAGATGTTGGGATATATCCCAAAACACAGTTTGGAAAGTAATTTCTAAGACTGTACCCATCATCATATTAATCCTCCTATCTACTTCTAGCCTAAAAGACTGGCTCTTGGGACTGTCCCAAGACACATGAGCCAGCATGGCTCCAGAAGACCCACATCTCCAGAAGCAGTCTGTGTTGGGAAAACCCAAGCTCTGTAACTTATGTGGAGACCAGTGTGAATGAAATATAATTTTCTGCTGGATCAGCCTTAATCACATATCAACAATAGAGTTTTTAATGTATTGTAAGGCATTTCCCCATTGGCTAGAGCTCAGGTTTATACACAAATTTTTGTTCCAGGCCCAACACAGATAATCTAAATTAGGGACTGTCACTTGGGCCAGGAACTCTTAAGAGGCTACAGCTGGTCTGGTAAACCTATGGAGCTCTCTTCACAACAACAGAAACTCTGGATTTCTGGCAGTCCCACTGCCTCTGGATTGAATACGGCCTTCAAAAGATGTTTAAACTGTAGGAAACACCATTTGCACCAGGTAGGTTATACGGTTGTTGAAGTGTTTGCAATGGAAGAAATAGATCCTCTGAGGTCAATTGAGACCCCTACAATTTCCCCTTATCCAGCTATTTTCTCCACATTAATCAGTTATTGTCCATTTTCAACTAAAATATTTTTTTACATTGAACATCGTCCATCCAGCTAGGTTTATTTTAGGGCTCTTGATTAATCGCAGTTAACTCATGTGATTAACTCAAAAAATTAATTGTGATTAAAAAAAATAATCGTGATTAATCGCAGTTTTAATCACACTGTTAAACAATAGAATACCAATTGAAATGTATTAAATATTTTTGGATGTTTTTCTACATTTTCAAATATATTGATTTCAATTACAACACAGAATATAAAGTATACAGTGCTCACTTTATATTATTATTTTTATTACAATTATTAGCACTGCAAAAAAGAAACAAAAGAAATAGCATTTTTCAATTCATCTCATAAAAGTTTTGTAGTGCAATCTCTTTATCATAAAATTGCAACTTATAAATGTAGAATGTTTTTGTTACATAACTGCCCTCAAAAACAAAACAACGTAAAACTTCAGAGCCAACAAGTCCTACTTCTTGTTCAGCCATCGCTCAGACACAAACAAGTTTACATTTACGGGAGATAATGCTGCCTGCTGCGTATTATTTATTATTTATTATTATTATCTACAATGTCACCTGAAAGTGAGAACAGGCATTTGCATGGCACTTTTGTAGCCAGCATTGCAAGGTATTTACGTGCCAGATATGCTAAACATTTATATGCCCCTTCATGCTTCAGCCACCATTCCAGAGGACATGCTTCCATGCTGATGAAGTTTGTTAAAAAAATAATGTGTTAATTAAATTTGTGACTGAACAACTTGAGGGAGAATTGTATGTCTCCTGCTCTGTGTTTTTCCTGCATATATTTCATGTTATATAACATTTCATGTTATAGCAGTCTCGGATGATGACCCAGCAAATGTTATTCATTTTAAGAACAGTTTCATTGCAGATTTGACAAAATGCAAAGAAGGCAACAATGTGAGATTTCTAAAAATAGCTACAGCACTCGATGCAAGGTTTAAGAATCTGAAGTGCCATCCAAAATCTGAGAGGACTGAGGTGTGGAGCATGCTTTCAGAAGAGCAACACTCCGATGCGGAAACTACAGAACCCGAACCACCAAAAAAGAAAATCAACCTTCTGCTGATGGCATCTGACTCAGATGATGAAAATGAACATGTGTCGGTCCGCTCTGCTTTGGATCATTATCGAGCAGAACCCGTCATCAGCATGGACACATGTCTTCTGGAATGGTGGTTGAAGCATGAAGGGACATATGAATCTTCAGCACATCTGGCATGTAAACATCTTGTGACGCTGGCTACAACAGTGCCATGCGAACACCTGTTCTCACTTTCAGGTGACATTGTAAAAAAGAAGTGGCAGCATTATCTCCTGGAAATGTAACCAAACTTGTTTGTCTGAGCGATTGGCTGCAGTAGGACCGAGTGGACTTGTAGGCGCTAAAGTTATTTTACGTTGTTTTATTTTTGAATGCAATTATTTTTTGTACATAATTCTACATGTGTAAGTGCAACTTTCATGATAAAGAGATTGCACTACAGTACTTGTATTAGGTGAATTGAAAAATACTATTTCTTTTGTTTTTTACAGTGCAAATATTTGTAATAAAAATAAATATAAAGTGAGCACTGTACACTTTGTATTCTGTGTTTTAATTTAAATGAATATATTTGAAAATGTAGAAAACATCCAAAAATATGTAAATAAATGGTATCCTATACTATTTAACAGCATGATTAATCACGGTTAATTTTTTAATCGCTTGACAGTCCTAGTTCATTTAGATTCAGGGGGAAATAATTACAAACCTGCCCATCTAAGGATACTTTAAAGTTGAGATTCACCCAGTGACTAGTACACCAGTGTGACCTCTGCCGAGGACATCTACAATTGTGAATCACTGTTAACTACTCTGCCTCAAAAAGTGAGTGTGCAGCTTGTAAACTGTGTGTCAGCTCCCTGACACACCATCTTGTCTGCTTTGTCAGCAAACTCTTCAGGAATCTGCCAGTCCAAACCTTACTGTGCAGGTAACAATCAGTGAACCCTAATTCCCAAGTTCCTCAAAGACACCTCTCTGCAGTGTCCAGCCCTCTAATTGAACTCAAATACATTAAGTTTGCTGCTCCTTTAAAGAGACAATACACAACAACTTATTAACGTAACGGGTTGACAAACCCCCCACTTCAACCAAAGTGCTGAGATGGTTTGTGTTAAAAGCAAAACAAGTTTATTAACAAAAAAACCCTAGATTTAAGTGATAACAAGAATAAGGAATAAGGACAGAAATGGCTATAAATAAGCAGAAGTAAAAATATACTTCTAAGCCTAAAACTTAAAAACACAGAGTATTTTGTTCAGAAAAGTTTATTTATCATAGCCTTTTTTTCAGCATGGCTGACTGGACATTTTGCCAGGACCCAACACACAAAGTTCAAAGCGTGGGGCTTCTTTGACTCCTCAGGAGAAATTAGAGATTTCCCCCCCTTTCTTTTTAGTCCAGTAAACCTTTGAAATGTATTCTTTGAAAAATAAGCTCAAAGTTTCTCCCTTCTTCTGGGGTGCAGACACCATGCTGTCTTCTCTCCCACTTGCTAGCTTGATAACTTTGTTTATCTTACATGTAAATGTTCCTTCATTGTCTTTGCCTGAGGACCAGCCTGGTCAGACAAGCAA